TTAACAAATGCTTCTACATTAGAAGAAATCAGTTTTGCCAATTGTGAATATTTACTATAAGGAAGGTAATAACAATCATAAACCTAAATCAATTTGTCCAGAGTATTCTTAATCAATATTCATCTCCTACCACAGAAATGCTGTGATCCACTATCTTAAATTGAGAAAAAGTATAGTAAAAACTGTTTCTTCCTCATTCCTAAAAGAAAAATATTATCTTAAATTATCTACTGAGATAGAAATAAGAAGCCAGGGTAGAAAAGTGCTAATTGAAAGTAATGAGTAATCACAACATATTTATACATTCAGTAGCATGTCTAAATATAGCTTCCTTAAAATAGCTCCAGCCACTAAAAAGGATGGAACGTAATATTGGTTAACTGTTACGAAAATATTATGAGACATGCAAATCTCCAGTCTTAAATAATGTAAAACCTTAGAAAGCTTTACTGAAGTTACCCTGAAACAGTAAACGTAAGTGCATTACACAAAATAGAGGCACGCCGTTGTGCAAAGCTGACCAGGAATCAATACGACAGTGATTCCGCCCTCCGAAGTCAAATAAGTAAAGGTTACCGTTCCAGTTTTTAAGACCCCAAACTGTTTAAGTTTAGGGAAGTAAAGAGTAGGTAGAATAGTTATAAGCCTGTAACAACATCATTCGGACAGCCAGCGCTACAGAGCCTTTCCAAAGGCGCCCTTGGAGCAAGCGGTCCCGGAACGGGCCACGACTGAGCTGCTAGGCTGAGGTTAGTGATCACAGAGGCCAAGACGCCGCCCCGGCCGAGGACCAGAGCGAATGGCATTCCCCGCTTGCTTGGACACATGCACTACCTCGGTAAAGCCAGGGACAGTGTAAAGGCGGAGCGACGGGTTTTCAGAAGAGACGTTAACTGTGCCTTATCCGGGGTCACCCCAAGTAATTTCTCCGTTGGTTTTCCTCTTCCTTTCCTTTGTAAATGAGGAGTCGGGCATTGATTCTAGAACATAATTTCAGAATCACAGCCTTCAATCGTTCATTAGGGTAAGTCTGGGGCCACGGGGATAACTATGTAAGACACTAAATGGAGAATGAGGATTGGTTAAGTGAAAACATGTTCTAATAAAAATGTTACCTGGAAGAACCTGAGTTTGTAATTGCACAAAATATAAGAGACGGGCAGCACACACAGTAAAAACCTCTGCCCTACTTGAAATCTTTTGTGGGAGTTGCTCAAAAAAGAGATCAATGGGCTTTTCTGGGTCTCAGTCTTTCTTCCTGCCTCTGCTCATTTGTTGGAAGGGAAAGCCATGGGTCTGGAATGGGTAGGGGCAGAGAGGAGAAGCAGAATAGCAGGGCTACGAGCTCCAACTGTGGAAGTGGAGAGTCGCCATTTAAAAAGGGACAGGCGAGGGCCCCGCGCTACCGTTACTATCAGAAACAACGCTGTCCACCACACCTTTCTCCAGGCTCTGGTTTTATGAGCAATACCCATCCGGCCGCCGCGCACTCCCGCACCTGCACGGGAGAGGCACGGTGCCGTCCTCACCCGAGGGTGTTACACTGACTTATTTTACCCCGAGCCTTCCACTGTAAAGTCTCCGCCGCCACTGCGGCCAAGTGAGACACTTCAGACACTACCGGTGGTGGAGTTGTGAAACATGCCCAAGAGTGTGAGGCAAGCCTGGAGTCAACACGGCGCTTCAACAACCGACCCGGCCAAGAACACATTGCCTAATGCTGGCCCAAGGTTGCCTGGGTAGACCTAATGCCTAAATGGGAATATGGCTACACGGAAACTCTCCCCTTTAGAACTTCCACAGGAGAGGCACATGGGGAACACGCACAACGAAGACCTTAGTATCTGGTCTTACGTCAAAAAGCACAGCGGTGGAGTGTGAGAGCCACAGACAGTTTCCCTCCCACATGTGTCACCTCTAACAGTCATCCGTATAAATGTGTTAATGGTCTACCTGCTGTAACCATGCCCGTGAGAGAACTTGCCTTTTGTTTGTAACATCAGCGCTGAGGAGTTCTTACCAAGTAGGAAAAAACTGTCAGTCATATTTTCACTTGTACATTACTTCCTCTTTCTGTTAAATAAATGTTTGTTTTTTTTTTAAAGGGCAATAGAAGTTGGAAGTATTTTTACGAGTAGGAAAAAACAAAAAAATGACAGACGAATCTGCAGCAGTTCCGAATGACCACTATACCCAGAGTCCAAGACCGGTGACCACGTAAGCCCCCAGTGAAAGACACAACGGCCCCTGTGCGAGAGAGAATGGAAACAGGGGTGAGGAGTGGGACAGCAACCTCTAACCACGTGAAGGTGTAAGCATTAGTCCCTGACGAAAGTTCCAGTCCAATGCCAGGCAACAGACAAACTGAAAGGAAGTTCAGAGAACCAGGTGGTCAGAAGAGTTTGACGAGAGAAACAGCAAGAAAGCTTACGCCCGACGTAGGTGTATGTGCGTGATATATACTGCTGTATATACACAGACCAATATTCACATACTGAAATACATCTTCTAAGCCTACAAATGAATAGGGACAGGTGTAAAAAAACCACGAACCTCAAACATTATGTTTTGAATTACTTCCCTCTGACGGGGAGGGTTCAAATAAACACCTAACCTGTCCATGCACTTATGGAGCCCACGGCTCTCAGGACAGGCCAACGCACGTCTTATTTATAAGAACCCCGAACTCCTCGGGAGACAGGCTAAAGGGAACTCTGCAACTCATTACTGGTAGTAATGACACCAAAGACACCCAAGGAAAGACAAACCCTGCTCTAATCTGGGGAGGCGGACTGGAGTATCAGCACCAGAACATAAGAAATGGACAACTACACCTTAAGTGCAAGCCCCTAGGCTTGGAAGACTGTTGATTCAGGGACAAGTGCTTCTCATGTGACACTGGGTGATGCCATTCATAGGCCCCCCGAGTACTCCAGGCCAGCTCCATAGGACAGTTTTCTAAATCCTGGACAGGAGAGGAAGGAAAGGTTACAGAGCAGTGGAAAGGAACAGTGCCAGAGCGTCAGAGTGAAGACAGAAGCCAGTCAGCAGCCTGGGCGGTGAAGAATGCCTGAGAGAATCCGGATCTCCGGGCAGGATGCCCCGACCGGTGCGGCATCAGGTTAGAGGGTGGGCACCAGCAATGGCAAGAGCCCTGGACAGGCAGAACAGAAACGGAAAGTGCGGGGAAAGAATAAGGGGCCCAAGTGGGGGCCCAGATGGAACATCACTGGCTGGAGACTGCAGCTGAGATCCTCCTGGATCCTCACCGAAGTCCCGATCCCCAGGTGTGCTCATGGCATCTCTCCTCACACATAACCGATGCAACTGCGGAAACGGTGCGGACCACCCCAGCAACGACAGCTAGACATGTCTCCCTGATGACGACTTTCTGCAACTGAGTTAAAAGCCCAGCTTCAAACACGTTAAGCAGACCCTGTCCAGTGACCCACGATGATGAAGAATGGGTGTGCGGTGTGATGAAGTCTGTGGAAGCCCGTGGCCCCAGGCATCCCGACCCATCCGGGAGGGGCTGGGGAAGCGGTGTTAGGAGTTACCCCAAGAGCCCGACATCTCAGCTATCAAAAAGCTCCTGACAACTTCATTTTATATGCATGCAAAAGGAAAAAAAAAGACTTGTAATGTTGACCTTCCTGAAATTCAGAAGTATCTTAAAGAAATTACAGTGACATCTCTACATTTGTTTCTCTTTGCGGCAGAGTACTTTCAATATTCAAGTCTAAGTAAGTAAACAGACAGCTGAGAGATTTAATACTTTGTCTTACTTAGACCCTGCCAATTCAGAAAGTAAATACTCTTGCAAACAAATGTTTAACTGACAACTAAACCAAACACAGTTGAGGATTAAGTGGTTAATTGAAAAAGACTGAACAAGGCACAGTCTGTACTTAATTTTTCAAAGATATGAACCTCTTCAAATTCTAACTTATGTCTAAGTTCTGCAAATTAGCAAATCAATCAATATATCATCACTGGATCAGCCTCATGGCATTAAAGCTCTCCTACATTTTCAATACCCCTGTACAATCAATGCATAAGCCTATGACTTAAACATTTATTTGCATGAACTGCCCACAATAACGGCTAATAAAACCCGTACTGTGCACCAGAAGCAATTTTTTGGAAGAAATTTAATGGAGTTACAGTTTGGCTGCTGTTCAAAACTTAGAATTATGTAAGAGTAAATATGTTGTGAGCCCTCTACATTCAATGAAACGTCCATCTCAAAACCCTGTTTCTTTCCTTTTAAGCCTAATATACAACGGCATTATAAACACAAGTGCAATTTTTTAAAATGCTTTACAAACAAGAATGTCCAATAGCTACAGAAATAATATAAAACGCTGAAAACCAGTCAAACTAGGGTTCGCACGTGCATGTTTTCTTCTACAGCCATTTTTTTTTTTTTTTAGGTGGCAAAAGTTTCGTTCTAGGAAAAGTTCACAGGTTAACGTTTTGAAGAGTGCTAAATGCTTCTGTTCTGGGCAAAAGTACTGAACTTCACAGCCATTACCGCACTGCTAGAGGCGGCTGGGGGAAAACAATGTGCGGGGCAACTTAACAGGTTTCTACGGCTCAAGTTCGCTTAAAATACACAACAGAAGTCACCTTGGCTTGGAGATAATTACATCAGCCTCGAGCTTGTCAGTTTTGAGCTGCACGAGACCTGGGAGACGCTCGCGCCGGGGCGAGAGGATGATGCCCCAGGGGTCTTCCCCAAGGACCTCCGTGGGGCAGTGGCGTGGCCGCGGGCGGAAGTTCCCGGGCTGCAGCCCCCTCCCGAACGCACCTGGCCCGGGGGCTCGGGGCCGCGCGGACCGCGCCCGGGGAGCTGTCAGCCGCCGCCGGAGCCGCGGAAGCGGCGGCGACCCCGCGCGCCCGCAGCCCGGGCGGCCCCGGAGGCGGCGGCGGCGGCGGCCGGGATCGCAGCCCGGCGTCCCCCGGACCCCGCGGCCTAGCGCCGTCGCTCCCCGCCTCACCTGCGCGGCCGCGACGCCGCTCCCGCCGCCGGTCGCTCTCGTAGAAGCCCAGCGTCTCCGTGTGCTGAGGCGCCAGCGGGGGCCCGTGACCGCCGCCGCCCGGCTGCTCCGCCTGGCCGCGACCGTCGCGCTCCGGGCCGTCCGCGCCTCCGCGGCTGCCTTCTCCCGGGGCGGCCGCGTCGCCGACGCCCGCCATGTTCCGAGAGCAAACTAACCCCGCCGCCTCCCTCCAGCCAGCCAGCCGGCCTCCGCCTCCGGCCAGCCCCCTTCCCGCCTCGCCCCGCCCCTCTCCGGAGCCCGGGCCGCTGGCGCCGCCGCCGCCGCCGCCGCCGCCATCCGCGGCCCGTCTGCCGGCGCGCGCCATTGGCGTCAGCGGCGCGTACGAAGCTGCGGCCGCCGCCGCCGCAGCCACGGCGGCCGCCATCTTTTTCCGGACCTCGCCGTGGCGCGCTGGGGCTTCCCGCGCCGCCGCGGGCTCCGTGGTCCGGGGCCCCGCGCCGGGCTCCATGCTGCTCGGTCGTGCGGCCGGGGAGAGCGGGCGCCTCCGGGGCTCCGGGCCGGCGGCGGCGGCGGGCGGAGGATCCGCCGAGGAGCCCCGGGGCGCCGGCCGCTGTGCTCGCTGCCCGCCGTCTGCGAGGTGTCCGGCCGCCGGCCCGGGGCCCCTTTTGCAGGCTCGGTGCCCGGAGTGAGTTGGCGCCGCCGGCCCGGTCTTGGCACTGGCCGCGCGACCACGGCGGCGGGGGCCGGGCTCCAGATCGCCGACCCCCGCGGGGCCCGGCCCCGTGTGTCCGCTACTGGGGCTCCATCCCTGCTGCATGTTTATGGTCGCCCGTCACATTCCGAGGCCTCTGGGTGTCCGCTGGCAGTTTGCAAAGCACTTGGGCTAGAAGGAGCTCGGGGATGCTGTCCAACAGGTGGGGGCGCGGAGGCACGCGTCGGGCCTCAGGGACTCAAACCAAGAAGCGGGGTGCTTTGTGCTTTTAACGCGCCCAGGACGCCCTAGACCGCCCTTCGGGTTAGGGTTAGGCGACGGCTCTTGGCCGCGGCGTACCGGGGCTCCGTCACCCGGGGCATCTGCTCTGCTTAGGGCGGACCGTCCTTTGCAGCGACGGCCTGTCACTTGGCCCCGAGCGCGGTGTCAGACCACCTGCCACAGGTGTGGAGGAAGTGAAGGTGACACGGGAAGGGTCCCAGGCACCTTTGACGCCCTCTTCCCACAGGGTTGCTGCCCCCTCCAGAGAGGGGGGCGGTGGCGGGTCAACTTCCCGTGTAACAACTTCACAACTCACCTGTGCCACTGTTACCCTTTTCATTAGGAAAAGGAAAACTAATTCCTCCCTGAACGTGAAGCTGTCTGCCAACTCCCCTAGACCTAAACTTGAGAACCACATGTAAAGGGCCTGCGCTGTGAAAAAATCGAGTTTGTGCTGATTCATCAAAACACCCTAAGGGTTGGTTGACACTAGTGAACACCTGGTTGCAGAATCGCGGCAGGGTTAGATCAGAGTGGCTGTTTTCTCGGGGCTGCGTGGCTGGGGCAGCCCCCTAGCAGTCGGAGCGCCGCGCAGGAGGCGGCGCTGGGGGACCCAGACGGACTGAGCCCCGCAGCTGGAAACTGACCGTCAGTCTTCGCGTGAAAGGAGGAACTGGTGCCTTTGGAAATTCCTCACCCTCCTCGTAAAAGGGAACAGTTCACAAGACTACATTTCCAAACATTCCTGTGATCGACCTCCGTGAAATCCTCTGTTTGGGCTGAACTTGATCAAAACGGATCCTCAATCCATCAAAAACAAAGGCTCTAATCACATCACCAGAGTCATTTTGAAATCAAAAAGCTACCGAAAATTTTATGGCCTCAGTTTGCTTACAGCCCAAACTCTATTATTCTTTGATCTTTTATAGTCTTAAGACCCATCCCATCCCAGTGTATTGATTGCCAAGAAGGAAGTAGGGTTTTACTGCTTGTGTATGTAAGTTCCCGTTTATTGTCTCACCACGTTTATTGGCTTATCACCCCTGCCTTCAACTCAGCAGGAGCTAAGGAAAGAGATCTGAATATTTTGTTATATTTGGCAGCCAGTTATATTGTAGGGATGGATGTCTCTCCTTTTCTCTGTCAAACCTGAGGAAAGACATTGTGTACCAAAGGCTGTGCCTATCCTTTCAGACAGCAAAGAGAGAAAAGCAGCAGCGGTGTCCAGGCACTGAAGGTGTGACAGAGTGAAGCGGGCAGCGTGAAAATGGGAGAGCTGAGGGGGTTGCAGTTTGTCAGTGGGGTCTTTTCACTGGAGCTGCCCTACTTTACAGGACACTTTGTGAAACTGCACGAAAGTGCAGCAGACAACCCTGCAGTGATATTAACATGCTAAAAAGCTTTTTTAAAACAAGCATTAATAGAAATATTCTTTCTAATAAACACTCTTCTTCCTTTGGGTAGGTACTGATAATTAGATAATCAGCTTATTGGATATAAAACGTTGTTTTCTTTGAGTTAATTCACCCTATTGCAAGTGATGAACAATCTCAGCCAGGGTATTTGCAACTATAATCTGCCCTCCCAGCCCTCTGTATTGGGCAAATCTGAATCCCAGATTCAACCAACCTGAAACTGAACATATTTGAAAAAAAAAAATTCCAGAAAGTTGATCACTAAATGAAACAGTGTAACAACTATTTACATAGTATTTACATTGTACTAGGTGCTACAAGTAATCTACAGACAACTAAATGGGTTGTATGCACCTACTATGCCATTTTGTCTAAGGGACTTGAACGTCCTCAGATTTTGGTATCTGTAGGGGGGGGGATGGTCTTGAAACCAATCCCCCACGGATACCAAGGAATGTGTCCATCTGGATGTATTCTAAATCTTGAAACTATTAAGTTACAAATAATCTTAAGAAATAGTGACACAGCCCAGAACAACCAGCTGTTCTCTGAAGAAAGTAAATGGCAGTTAAAATACAGCGTTCTTTATATCCATCATAAAAAAGAAAGAGGCCTAGATTTATAATACGGCCATTAGAAAACAGTAGAAATATTTCACAAACATATAATCTTCACCATTAAAGAGACATCAAATAACATTCCGAGTTAAATTATAAGAACAGGATTTGGATGACAATGAGGAGCAGTAATTCAACTTAGACCTTAATTCAGCAAACAGTGAGTCACGTGCTGTCGGCACGTCGTCCCTGCAGTAGCTTCTAGTGAAAGGCGTACTCCACTAGTGGGAAGTAGTTTCAACAGGGGACAGCGATGAACCAAGAATCTTCTATGTAAATGACAGAGAACAAAAAAAAATTTCATTGTGTAGCCCTGGCTGGCGTAGCTCAGTGGATCGAGCGCAGGCTGCGAACCAAAGTGTCGCAGGTTCAATTCCCAGTCAGGCCACATGCCTGGGTTGCAGGCCATGACCCCCAGCAACCGCACATGGATGTTTCTCTCTCCTTCTCTTTCTCTCTCCCTTCCCTCTCTAAAAATAAATAAATAAAATCTTTTAAAAATTTTCATTGTGCTAAAGAAGTTTAGTTAAATGGATTTGTATATTCAACATTATATCTTAATATATATAATAACTATGAATACATAAATTCAATGAAAAGTTTGTAAAACTGACACATGTAATCTTAATTGTGTATTCTTGTACCTTCTGGTCGTACTGCCTACCGTGTGGCAACTGTATGTTGAAAATACCAAACCACAAAGTATGTTTTAAAAAGAATGAAAATTTGGTGAGTAATATATTCAATTTTGAAGAATAAACGGAGTGACTTTATATTTTATTAAAGATTTGATCATTGTGATTTTTAGACTAAATGAAATACATTGAACTCATGACTATTAATAATGATTCAAGCTCCAGAAAATCATCTTATGAAGCTTATAAACTCTAACCTTCAGTGTCTTTCATTGGTCAAAATGAAATAATGTGCCTTTGATTCTAAATGGGGCAATACCTTTCTATAGTAGGAACTGAGAAAAACATAATTTCCAGTTTTCTTTCTCCTTTGTGGTAACTGAATGCCATTTAGACCGAGTCAGTTTTACTTTTTCACCACAAAACCATTTACAAATCTCTTCATAGCACTTCTAGTATATTGCCCCTAAAATATGTGTGAGATTAGCTCCATAGACTTTTCCTGAGTAAAAACACAAACATTAAGCACTTTGGTGATGGAGGGCACCCTGAAGGCCTGGGCCCTCCCCCACTCTCCCGTTGGCCTTCCAACCTCGGGAGACACTTGCTGCCGCTCTCTGCTTCATCGGCCTCGCTCTAGAACGTGGGGCCGATCACCCTGATGGCCTCTTCCAGAATTTTGTCACAAAACCCTGGCAAACCCATTTTCAGATTCTTGAACCCCTGGGGGGGAAGAATGGCTAGTTCTGCCTGTACGCTGAGTATCCGTGGAAATGTATGGAATCCTTAATTAGAGAATGACTTTGTAATTGGGTCTGAAACAATACAGGGAATTCAAACGGAGCAACCCATCAAATGTCTGTAAGTCTTTAATGAACCTATTATCTATTATCTATCTGTCAGTTCTTCTTCCATTCTGCACGAGAGCTGGTGGTTTCTGACGGCCTGTTCTGTCCCTGCCCAGGGCCTCAGGGTTCCTGCATTTTGAACAAATCTCCTGGATTGTGCCCAGACACGCCTAAGTCCAAGAACACTGCCCTGTCGTGGCATTCAAAGGAACTGAAGTGGGATTTGAGATGATTACTGTTGTACAGAATTCTCGGAATATCGATTCAACCGCCAAATTGAGTACAGTTTAATTCTATATGTCTCATTTGAACATTTATTTCAGCAGAACATGAGTTCTGTTTTCTAAACCACAAATGAGATATACCGAATCACAAAAAGTTCTGAATTTAATTTATTCCCCATTTCTTCAAAGAGAAAAGTAAGAGTTGATATATTTTTTTAAAAACAGAACAGCTTTGCAATTGATGTTCAAAAGAAATAAAATACATCCCTGGGCCCAGAGCAAGCCTTTGCAGTAATTTGTGTGAGTTTATTGAATTTCTGAGTTTCAGTAATAATATTTTCTATTCTTGGCAACCATTTTTGGACTGATACTTACTAGGTTTTATCCTGTCTGGACTTTATTCTGTGGGTTTCTAAAGGACATCAACTCAATTTGTTTCTGGGAGATGTAGCACAAAATGGAATAATGTGCCTTTGATTCTAATGCACCTGTTACAACTCAACTAAGACAGCCATGAGCAAAATCTCATTTCTGAAAGCATTTCTCTGGCACAGGGATATAGGACTGAAACCATTCTAAAGAGGACCTACTGAAAATGGTATTTTGTTAAAAGAGATATTTTATAAAAGATATTCTGTTCTAAAGACCTTAAAGTTGGTTTGTTTATATGGTAAAAGTGCGTGAACATAAATCCACACTTTATTGGCTAATAGGATCTTTTATATATGATCAGACATAAGGCTTATTTTAGATTAGATTTTAAATTTCTGGAAAATTCCAAAATACTGCAGGAAGGCACTACAGTGATGACTGGGCAAGCTTTCCATTCCAGATTTCTCTCTTTGTGGAGAAAGAACACTGTTCTTTTTTTTTTTTAATACCCATGAAAAAAATAGATGTGTCATGTTTAGAATGGTTTTAATCATTTAGTCATTTAATTAGCAAAAATCTCTTTGCTGATTGAACTCAGACTTTCCAGTAAATTTGTTGGTAACTTGTCAAAATCCTTAAAAAAAAAATAATTCCAGCTAGCAAAGGCTTTAATTTGAGAGTTCACACAACAGATTTTATGTGTCACTAATTTACGTTGCTAGAGCTTTTGGGTTTTGCCTTTCAGCATGTTTTATCACCCTGTTTTTATCATTTCCTGCTGTTGACTTACTTATTGTATCTTTGGGCCACTGATCAAACAGTGGTGCGCAATCAAGAGATTTTACACGATGTTGAAAATAAGTTTTTACTTTTTTCCTAGTGTTTCTATTGAACTTGCATGGATCAAGATTACAGTAATTTTTCTCCATACTTCTGTGCCCTTTAAGCTCTTGTGGTTGCATTCTCATCTGTTTTCTAGTCTACTTTTTGTTTCTGGGATTGTTAAACGTGAATGTACTCTTTGGGTCTTATAAAGATCTGTTTTTTAAGTCTTATCTCTCTCTATGCAAACCTAAGTATTTCTCCCTTTTTTGTCTTTGTTATCAAAATGCATTGCACATGCATAATAAATGTTCAGATTCTCCAATTAATCCTCTTTTAGGGTTTCTGCTTTCTAGGTGTTAGAAATTTGCTTATGTGAGTTCAGAGCCTTAAATTTTCAAATTGCTTTTTTGAATTCGCCTTTTATATTCCACCTCCCTTTTTTCAATATTCTAAGTTTATATTTATACGTAAAATTCTTCTGTAGTTTTGACATTTTCTAACTTAGTATCAATTTCAAATAACGAACAACTTTTACCCTTTTTCTTCTGCATGGGTGTTAATAAATACTGTCACTTAGGTGTCCGATTTCATGGAGGAGAGCAATACTACGACTCCTTTTTCAAAACAGCCGTAAAGAGAAAACGTCTTGTATCTGCAGCAAACGTTCTCATCTTGGGAAAGTTTCATCCTCCTCATTCTGCTTTATCTAAGTTGATACAAACATTGAATTCTCCTTCCCTGAACATATGCCCACTGGCGACAGATGCATGCTGGGGTTGAAAATCTGGCATGTGCAATTCACACATGAGTGTTGCAAAAATTCATGACCTCTGAACATTCTCTCTGACCATTCATCTGTGCATCCTACTCAGCTGTGCAAAAATCCATTTCCAGTGCTGCAAACCATTCTTTAATATTCAGTTTTAACATTACAGTGCTGGGATTTTGGGTCTGACGTGGTTAGCTAGATATCCTTTTTCCTAGGCAATACTACGTTGCATGAAATTTGATTTTATTTTCATAAGCTTGATAAATACTGTTTCACAGTTTGTAGTTTGTCTTGATGTCGACAATAAAATCTCATGGTAAGTGTTTAAAGATACAAAAAACGAGTTGATTTCATTGACTGGGTAACGAAATCTCCACTCTGCAATTTCTGCCATTTGCATCCCTTCTCCGCTTTTAATAATGTTCCATGGAGAAAGCCCAGTTGGTACGCTATTTTAGGGAGAGTGCCCTCTTCTATGGTGGTGTAACTGGCTTCTCCCTGGAAAGCAAATAGTTTTCTTTCTATTAAGGATATTTAAAAAAAAAATAACGCATCAGTGAGAATGGTTTTTTTTTCTGAATCTGTATTTGTTAAGCTGTGTTTTCAGACCGGCAGTGTCCGTTGATCCCCCGGGGCCCGCACAAATGCGCAGGCGGGCTCGCCCATGCAGACATTTGCCTCTGGCTAACAGATGGTTTTCTCCAATCTGTTGTGTTTTTCTTCCGTGCCAAGGTGGGCGAAACATTCGTGTGAGACTCAGCCACAGAATTTAATCTCCAATGATGGCGGTAGACTAGAAAAGGTCTTCAGACAGCGAGACAGCAGAGAGAAGCGCAGGGAAGCAGACACCTGGTGGCGGGAGGCTTGGTTCAGGACCCTGTACTGCCCCCTGCTGGTCATTGAAGCTCCGATCCGAGGGCTAGATCGGCTCCACCTTCCCCTTCGTCTGCGGAATCACGAGATTTTCAGTACTCGTAACATTTTTCTTCTGCTGAACCCAAGTATCCTATTCTAAATTGTGATGTTTATGTCACATTGCTCACCTTCAAGCAACAGACTTGAGTGTTTCTTCGGCAAACACTTCTTGAGTGGTTTTTACGTGCCAGGAGCTGTACAAAGCCCCGCAGTAACGAGGACAAATGAACTGTGTTTCTTGTCCGCGTTGCAACGTGGGAAATACCACAGTGGAGGAACGGACGCAGAGCCCTGAGAGTTCTAATGAGACACCGATTCGGCTCTGGATGGACCAGGACGGCTCAGCAGGCAGTGGCAGGTGAACAGGTCTTGGAAGATGGGCTTGCAGAGTTCAAACGTGGGGCTGAGGCAGTGGAAGGAGTGGGGGCAGAGTGAGTGAGACAGGAAAATGCATAGTGCTGGGGTGGAACTTCGAGACAGAGTTTTAGTTTCCAGGGTTAACCACGGGGAGCAAATGGCGGGTGACCAGGGCGTCGACTGGACAGAAGGGTCTGGAGGTGGAATGAGGGATTAGGGGACTAGAAGGTTGGTAACACCATCTCCGGGCCTTCTTCCCAAGTTGGAGGATAATTCCCAGCTTTCAGCCTCCTGTGTAGAGAGCTCTGCGCGCCCACACGGTTGGGCAGGGCAGCTGGAACGTCAGCCTGTGCCTGCT